AACTATAAAATAAAATAAAAAAAAAAATATATATATATATATATATATATATATAAATAAAATAAACAAAAACAACAAAATTACTATAACTAAAATTAAAACAGAAAATATATAAATATTAGAAAATATAAAATATAAATAAAAAACAATATAAACTTATATATTTTTACTAATTACTAACTATATTACATATGGTAAATTTAAACAAACAAACAACTAAATAAATAATAGTAAACAAGGAAAGAATAATTTTTTTATCCACCAATAAAACAATACATAAAAATAATATTTACTTGAAAATGCCACATGTTGATCTCACAAGACTAAAGAGATCCATGAATCTAGTTGTGCTCTTTATGAAATTTAATGGTCAATTAAAACGTCCAGAAAAATGAGTTAATATATCGCTCAGGAAAAACAGTCTGATCATTATCACATAATTAGCCCAGACAGGCTCATTAGGAATATGAAGCAAACTAATAAATATGCAAATAAATAAACTTTCTACAAAGGAAAAAAACGATAGGACAGTTTAGTGTCATTACACACTAGGGCTGTGCGATATTGAAGAAAAACGCGATCTTTCTCAGCTGTTTACATTCATTTAAAACATAACCGACTGCGTTTACGAGAATGATCGTCGAGACGGGTACTATTGACATAATTCTGTGTGTATGTGTCTGTTCAAACATGAGGAGATGCGAAAGACGAATCAACTCGGTGTTCGCACGCCGTCTGAAACGCATCTCTCTGTGTGTGCGCGCGCGCTTTGCAGGTGTGCGGCATACCTGAAGAGACGCTGCGTGAGATGCGGCTTGTGCGTGCGCTTCAGGTGCGAGTCAGACAGCAAGACGAGACGGCAAAGAGTTGTTTTCTGCAACTTATTGCACTTAATTATTTTTAATGTCAAGCAATTCTCTGCAATATGCGTCGAACTAAAACTTTGACCTTTTGCAACGTTTTGATTTAAGTAGCCTATTATTAAAATGATTCAGATATTGCACGCCCTTGCGATATGCATATTGCGATATTTCGATATATCGTGCAGCCCTATTACACACAAATATTAGACCACAAAATGCAGCAACTGACAATACAATAAATTACATTAATCTTTATAATTAATAGAATAATTAAGGAAGGAGGAGATGCAAAAGACGAATCAACTCGGTGTTCGCACGCCGTCTGAAACGCATCTCTCTGTGTGTGCGCGCGCGCTTTGCAGGTGTGCGGCAGACCTGAAGAGACGCTGCGTGAGATGCGGCTTGTGCGCGCGCTTCAGGTGCGAGTCAGACAGCAAGACGAGACGGCAAAGAGTTGTTTTCTGCAACTTATTGCACTTAATTATTTTTAATGTCAAGCAATTCTCTGCAATATGCGTCGAACTAAAACTTTGACCTTTTGCAACGTTTTGATTTAAGTAGCCTATTATTAAAATGATTCAGATATTGCACGCCCTTGCGATATGCATATTGCGATATTTACATTTGCGATATTTCGATAATTTCGATATATCGTGCAGCCCAATTACACACAAATATTAGACCACAAAATGCAGCAACTGACAAATCAGAATCAATGCAATGACATTAATCTTTATAATTATTAGAATAATTAAGGAAGGATGATTCTGTATTCCAGTTGAAACTCATGAACAGACAGGTTTCAGTCCGTTACCTGATGTAAAAACCGTCTGCAGGTGCCTCTTTGACCCTCCTGAAGTGCTCGGGTCGGTGCTGGACTCTGAGGGTGACGTTCTCCGAGGGTTTCAGCATCTCTAGATACACCTCCTCAGCAGTCTTTTTCTTCAAACTCACGGAGTTACACTGCAAACAGGAAATGACATCACAACACCATCCATCAGGCTGCGTCACATCTAGGTTCTTCTCCTCTCTGCACCATCCAGACCATTACCTCCAGGATCAGGTCTCCAGGCTGCAGGCCTTCAGCTCCTCGAGCAGGACTGTCCTCTTCTAGAGCCTCCACGAAAACCCCCGTCAGGTTTCCTCCACAGATCTTCAGCCCCAGATCTACCTGAGTCTTCCTCAGCACCACCAGCCTTGGCTCCGCCTGCTTCCGATCCCTGGCCAATCACAGAGCAGACTGCACAGTTACACGCTTATGACAGTGAGAGAAAAATAATTGACGTGTGTGTGCACAAGCATTTTCACAAACAAATCTTTTGGAGATTCACCAGAAATGTATTCTCAATCTACAAATAAATGTAGGAACAACTGAAATCACACACACACAAAAAAAAGCACATTTGTATTCATATTTTGCATCGTTTTTTATTTTTATAATTTCGGTTTTCATTTTAATTTCAGTTAAAGTTTTAGTAATTTTTTATTTGTGTCTATATAGTTTTTATTAATTAAATTTTTTTATTTTTTTATTTTTAGTACATCAAATTAATCTGAACTAAAATGAAAAATGTTGCCTTGGCAAACCGCTAAAATTAAGAGTTTAATATTTATTTTTATTTTATTGGGTTTCTGCAGGTTTTGTGAAAGTGAATTTGAGATTTTTAAAGACCTTTTTAAGAAAAATTAAGGAATAAATGTACAAAAAAAGTGATGTTTATCCTCAGTATTTCTGTCTTGTTTTCCAGTGCAAATGTCTAAAGACTCTTGTTTTATCTTGATCTTAAAATCAAGTGAGAACAAATATCAGTCAGTGGGCTTAATTCAACTTAATTTAAGTGACATATATTTGTTCTTGTTTTAAGCATAAACTCATTTAATTGTTCAATTTCTCAGAAAGCAAGACTTCACATCTTCATTTTGCAGCTCAAGTAAATGTATCTTGATTTAAGGATGTTTAGATATTTGTATTAGAAACCAAAACAAAAGTACTGAGGAAATGTTCATTTTTTGCAGTGCATTCAACATTTAATGCCATGACTTTATGAATTTCCTGCTCTGCTTTGAAGAGCTTTTTAGGCCTTAATTTGTTGAAGGGTGAATTAAGACCTTTTTAAAACCCGCAGAATTCGGTTGCATACAAATACAAAATAATCCACGTAATTCTTTGTGAACGAGACCCAGTGTGTTTGTTACCTGTGAGGGCTGGCTGTGGGCGTGGCCTGTTTGGAGGGTGGGGTCATGGTGCCCTCGTCCTGTTCGCTGAGCGTGTCTATGTTGGAGTACGTGTCGGGCGTAGAGTGAGAGCTTATGGATGACTCCATCCGGGAGCTGGCACAAATGAACATGTCAGGACACTCATACCACGTTTCAAAAGCATGACAGAGTCACGTGTACGGTGTGTGTGTGTACCTCGAGCGGGAGTGATTGCCCAGCTGGTGCATGTGTGGGTTGTACTGTGCCAGTATGGTGATGGTGTCACACTGCTGCCCAATGATGAGTCTGGCCTGCTGCTCGGTGGCGTTCCTGAGATTAATGCCGTTAAACTGCAGAAAGAGAGAGAGATTCACACGTGCTCGATTTAAGCAGCAGCTCTGTATTTCTCGCAGTGTTTTCTGACGCACCTCCAGCAGCTGATCTCCAAACTCCAGGCGGTGCTGCTGAGCGATGCTGCCTCCCGTTACCTTGGAAACAAAGATGCCGCCATTCTCCCCACCCACTATAGAGATGCCGAGAGGCTCCGCCCCTTTTGGAATAGTGACACACCGAGGCTCTTCTATGTACGGCCTAAAATGCAAAAACACACAATATGGGCAACCGTCCATCAAGAGTCCGTCTCAGAGGAATCTAACAGGCCCGAACTATCAGTCGCTCACACATGCATTTACTGCCGTTTTCAGTTATGTACAGAATAGCAGGTTTGCATCAGAGTTTGGTTTTCAGCTGTTGTATGATGTATGAAAATATTCCAGGCTCAAGCTTTATAGATATTATCTGTGACATTCTGACAGACAGCACAGTAAAAATGTCAAAAGCTACAGACTTTAGTTCAAAGTGATTAAAAACGTCTGCCAAATGGATAAACTGTAAGTATAAATGGAAATATTTAACTTGAGGCGGTAGACTTGGTTAATCTGTTCATTATTTCTTTGATTAATCAGATTAAACACAACTGCTTAGTTGATTAAACACACTATTTTTTACTTTGTTATTTTTTAATCGATTGACAGCACTAATATATATATATATATATATATATATATATATATATATATATATATATATATATATATACATATATATATATATATATATAT